CGGAACCCCTCCCCCTTTCTACTCGCCGCCGGTGTGGGGATCTCAGGTTCCAGAAAACCATGCATTTCCTCATGATTTGTAAATTTTATTTGCCAAATTTGTGATTTTTGGTTTTTTTAGCATATGATGTCGCCCTATGGAACCCCGATCCCGTATTCGCCTATGTATCATCCGATGTATGCTCATCCCTCTGTTGCGACTGTAAGGCTACCGTTACCTGAACTTGTAGTTGTATTCTATTGTTAGGGTTTTGCTTAAAGGATGCAAATTGTGCAGGGTGCAGGGTACCCGGCGGTGGAATCGGGGAGCAACAAGTCGAAGGGAGGAGGAGGAAGTGGGCCGGGGAAGTCTGGGGATGGGGGTAAGGTTACGTCGGGGTCTGCTGATGATTATGGGTCTCAGAGGTAGGGTTTGGTTTGCATAATTTGTAGATTTGGTAAAGTTTCGTTCTTCGTTTTACTCGTTGGTGACTTTTGGTGGTTGGAAGCAGTGGTGGTGAGAGTGGGAGCGAGGGCTCATCGGATACCAGAGATAATGGCTCTCATCCTCAGGTGTGTGATGTGGATTTGTTTGTCTCAACTTTGGTTTGTTAAGAATAGAGCTCAGTGCTAGAATTTTAGACTTGAAGTTGCTTGCTTAATTAGCTGTAAGTTTCAATCGGGATCAAATTTTTTACTATTATAACACCTTGCATATGAGCAGATGTTTTGTGCCATTGGTAAGGAGGGGTATGGGATATTTTGGAGATTCCAGCTGTCCCATTATGGTTCCAAACACCCTGCGTGCATAGTGTTCTGATAAGATTTGTTTTAGTTTCAATCTTTATGTGTGGTTAGAAGGTTGATGTCAGGTGAAAGGAAAAAGTTTTATGACTAGACTAGAGAGAGAATTATTCTTTCATAATCTTCCTAGTTAGGAATTTATTGAACCATGATTCGGAAAGCTGCCAAAACTGTGAATTAGTCATAATAAATAATGCTTGTTTTGTTTGAAAAAAGGTACTGGCAAGGTGAGAATTGGAGGACTGCAAAAACTGTTATCATGTATATTTCTTCTAGAAGTTTCATTTTGTCAAATTTTGTCCTATTAATATAATTTGATATTGTTTCTGTATATTGTGATGACCTGCTGATAGATGGCTTCACTAGCTTTGCTCATATACATTTGTTTTCTGATATCCAGGATGCAGCTCGAAAGAGAACTTGTGGGGAAGCATTTACTGAGGGTAAATTTCTTAGATTTGTGTGTAATAATTCCATGATGGAAGACTTATGCTTGATCTTGTTCAGGGGAATCTTCACAGCCCATTACTACTCCTCAGAACTGTGACATTACTGCTGAATCACCTTACAGTGGAAGGCCAAGAACTGTGTCAAAGCTTCCAGTTTCAGCACCTGGGAGGGCAACTATACCTGGTCCTGCAACTAATTTGAACATTGGAATGGATGTATGGAATGCTTCCCATGCTGGAACTGCACCTAAGGTCAGACCAACGTCAGCAAATGTGGGATCAGCAACTGTTGGAGCTAATGGAGTTGTGACTGAACACAATTGGACACAGGTGATTTGCATATAATTTTTTTTTCCATCAATGGTATATTTCTTACATTTATATATTTTTCTTCTTTTGCAAAGATGAACTGATGTACACCTTATGAGGGTTCCCGCGGTATCATCCTCCATCGTATGTATACTATCTTGTTAATTTTCAGCTTGTATATTTGTCAGGATGAGCGAGAACTAAAGAGAGAACGAAGGAAACAATCTAATAGGGAGTCAGCAAGGAGATCAAGATTGCGCAAGCAGGTATGCTCTTCTCCTCCATTTTCTTTTGAAGAACTTGAAGTTGATTTTGCAGTCAAGTTTAGGTAGGAAAGAATGCTTTAGGCTCTTGGCCCTTTTTTCTGTTTTGAATTAAGGATTTCAATTGGCAAAAGAGTATGATGTTCAACCTTTCTGTATAGTTTAGAACAAAATAATACGTCATGTCCTACAATGTAATCTAGCAAAATAGAGATCAGACACATCAATCAGTTACTCTTCAGTATAGCTTTCCACAAGAATAAGAAGTAAATGTTACATACTTCGTACTATTTAGGTAAAGCCATTGTCCGGTTTGAGATTGGTAAGCCAAGTTTTCCTCGACAATATTGCTTTAGTTGAGGGTTACAATCCTATTCACTCGTTTAGTCATAGCTGTTACTATGGCTATTGGCTGTTCTAATATACTAGCTTTACCTTATAACTCAAAGAAGTGGATAATGATATTTAGCAAATCATAGCATGTTAGATTTGTGAACTCTATTATAGTATATCTGGCAAGTTATTTTATGAATTAAGGGGAGGATGGAATCATCTGGAGCTATTCACATTACTTGGGAGCAGACGGAGAACACTTACTGTATCAACACTTTTTTTGACTTCTAACATATTGAGGAAATGCATTAAATATTCCTGAGCATGTTGGAGCAGACTTTTAAAAGCTTCGTTTTGAAGTATTACTTGTTTCAAGATCAAGTGATTGGCTAAAGGAGTGAACTAAGGAACTTAAAAAGCGTTGGTGCATAAGTCCGAGGCTAATTTATCCTAGAATATCTCCCTTTAGTATGGCTTACTGAGAAGAAGAATTAACAAAATCTAGGGGGAAAAATGTTTAGTTCCTTCCCTTGGAATTTTCCAGAAATCCTTTTCACCACCACAAAACCTTCCCTCTATTTCTTTTAGGCACTTATGAACAATTAACCCCTTTGACCTCTTTATAGAATCTATTTGTCTGAACATTTCTGTAGTTTGTGTTTGAAATTCTGTAAAATGAGAATGGATAAAAAATATATTTGTAACTATGCAAAACGTTGTGCGCTAAAAGTATAGAGGGGGTTACAGGGGTGAATCATTGATTTTAGGGGTCCTAAAGAAAATTTGTATTAACAAAAAGTAATGGGAGAGAGATTTTTTGAAAATCCAAGGGAACTTAACACAGTGTATCGAAAATCTAGTAGTAGTTATATTTAGTGTCAAACTTACAAGGTTAATTAATGACCTTGTTGTTGTTAAATAAAGCTGGTTGTTTTTTCTATTGTTCAATTTATTTTCAGATTGAGCGATAGATTAATTTTTCGATTGTTTTATTGTTTGGGAAGAAATATTGTATTGAGATGAGAACTTCTCTTTCAGCTGCTAGCCTTCTCATTATTTTTGCATTTAAAGATGTTTTCTAGTTCAATATCCATAACATCGGTCACTATTGTTACTAATTAGAATATCAGAATGTTGTGGAACATAGTTTATACCATATATTTTTTAACCACATTCATCAGGGTGATATTTTTTTGTTAGCTTTTATACCTTGTGCACATTTCAACTTATTTATAAAGATGACATGCAATAATATGAAAAAATGGCGCTTATGCTCTTCACATAAAAATTTATAGCAAAAAAAAAGGCGCTTATGCTCTTCACTTTAAAATATATAGCAAGTTGCTTAAGGTCAAGCATTTTGTCGTACGCTTATTACCCCTGTGCACACATACAAACTGTATGTTCACGTAAGTGTGTTTACGTGGCATTGCTAAGACTGCACTATGAAATATATGTTTTAACTTTGTCCTTACATGAAAACATGAAGTCTTGGTAATCTGATGAGAGTGAAATTTTGCATTTGACAAGCTGACATACTGCAACTATGTTAGAGGTTGCTCTTATTGAGGACAGAACGAGAGGGAATTGTTTGAGATCGTTTAGTCATGTGCAACAGAGACCATTAAATGTGCCAATTAGGAGAAGTGATAAGATTACAATTAATGGAGAAAGAAGGAGAGAAAGGAGTTGTGAGGTAGGCCTGAGAGAACTTGGTTAGAAACTGTTAAGTAGGATATGAATTATTGATAAATGTAGTGGAGGAGATAACCCTCCACATAATTAAGTGGAAGAGTAGGATTCATGTAGCCGAGCCCCAAAATTTGGGATAAAGGCTTTGTTATAGCTGTTACTTGTTAGAAACTTCTACATTTATGGATATGATCAAGTCTTTGCAACTTCATTCTTTCAAACGAGGAGCATAATTTATATGTGTCTTCTTGAAGCCTATTGCAATTAGATTAATTGACTATTATTCTAATATGTTTGGCTTTTTAAAAATTGTCCGTTAACATAAACAATAAATAAGTTTCAACCTCAAGGACTGCACTAAGGAGTGTGAAAATTTATCTTATAGATCTCAAAATATTTGGTACTCGAAGCATTTGAGGACATGTTAGCGAAAATGTCCAACACATGTCCAAAGAGCGATGGCGAATCAGCATGTTGGGTACAGGTCACACTTGGACAAAATGTATTTGCACTGCATATGGTTTATCTTCCTAAGTTACTCTTGATGTCTTACAATTAAAATCTCATGAACATCTTCACCTTGACATGCCCTTACTGATCAGGAATTGCTAGCTCTGTTCACCTGTGGGATTCTATATGAACACAAGTACACGAATTTTGAAGTTCTCAAGCAGAAGTAGGAAGATAAATACATGATTGTCAACCAGCGTGAACTAACCTTGCATAGTTGGTATCAACTTCTGGATTTGTGTCAATTGATATTTGCAGCTACAATTTGTCAATTTGTAAAAGGCATGGAGAAAAGGGAAACTGGCATAAAACCATTTTTATTCCACCTTTATCCCTTACTAACATGCACAAACATTCTTTTAAATTAAAAAGATTCATTGGCAATATGCTAAAATGATTTGGTTTACAATTCTGTAACTTGTACAAGAAACACTGGCATTGCAAGTAATATGGTATTGGAGAATTGGGATGCATAATAAACTGAAAGAAAACATGTATCAATAAGCTGGACCTTGACACTCAGGATGTACCTCATATGTTATTGGTTTTTCGATCAAGGAAAAGTTATTCTTGATATAGTGTCACCTTGTCTGATTGAAGTTGTGACTGGGGACATGTTTTCTAACCTCAGAAAGTAATGATTTTCATGATCTCACATGTTCAAGGCATGCTTGGTGGATGCTTTTCATTGACATATTCTTTTAAAACTAGCCTTTATTTTAAGTTTTCTTTTCTTGTCGTGTTATTGTTTTTATTACTTTTTATTGTCACCATCTGATGATCTCAAGAAGCCTATTATCTTACTATTAAATCAAGTCTAATTGTTGCTTATGGTGGTGTGCTATGGCTGTTATTTTTTGTTACTATTTTGATTTGGTCAAATTTTCAGGTAACGACAATTCTTGCAGCTTTCTTAGTGGCTTAGATATGGTCAAGTTGATTGTCATCAGAATTGTGGATATATTTATGTATTTGGTTTCAGTCATTTAATGCTCATGCTCCTTTTATTGCCTTAAAATCAATTGGTCCCCTTAAGTTCTTTTGAAAATTCTTATAGCATGAAATAGTGGCTTTCAGTAATGTGTGCTTTTCAATTTACGATTTGCAACTGTGTGTTTGGGATTTTCTATCTTTCACGTTCTTTCATATATTAGATGGAATCTGATTAAATATGTTTCTCACATATCAATGGAATCTGATTAAATATGTTCCTCATATATCACTGAAATCTGATTCAGTTTCTTTTTTCACCAGCAAGAATGCGAGGACCTGGCAAGGAAGGTGACTGAATTGAACAGTGAGAATAGTGCACTGAAAGCTGAGCTTGAACAACTTAACAAAGGCTGCAAAGACCTTGAGGCAGAGAATGCATCAATTACGGTCAGCTGTTTCTCATTTATATACTGTTACATGGCCTTAAAGGTTCATGCACATGATGTTGACACTAGATTGGAAAGTTCTATTTTTGGCATAGTGCGTTGGATGCAGTAATATCAAAATCATATAAAATAGCAATTACATATCTGGACATATGAAACTGTGAAATTTAAGATTAACGGTATAGTGTAAAAGCACGGAGTTACCATAAGTTTTTATCAAACCCCTGTAATGAAGATTTTAGCTGATTCAAAATCTTTATTCAAGTAGTCTAGAAGCTATAATATTGGACAACTTTTGGTATATGAGATAGTTTTTTTCATGATATTGATTACACATACTATCCGAACACAAAGAAATGGTGTTCTTGAAGTTGATTTCTTGTGCTGACTTGTTACTTAACAAGAATTAAAACAAATCCTCGTGACATCTGAAATGCACACACATTGACCATTATTTTGAGCTTATACCCTGCACTTAGCTTGTACTACCTAGTTGATCAGCACAAATTTTTGTTTAAAACTGACTCCAGGTTTAATCACTGGACCAAGTCATCTTGAGACATGTCTTAGTTGGACAGGACCAAGCCAACTCAATATAAAGCAAGATTGTACAAAGCAGAAAGCGGAGTGAAGTGGTGAGGCACCGCTTAGGCTTTTTGCGTCCTAAGCGGTTTAAAGCAGAAAAAAATGCAAAGGAAAAACAGTCCAAATCCTATTAAAATGTTAAATATTGATAAATATTCAACAAAAATCAAGAAAAATCTAAAAATTATTAAAAAAAGCAAGGTGAAGAAGAGGAATTGTTGATTGAATTTGGTGTGAGCTTCAGCGGAGAAGTGGAGGTGGATGAGCTAGAGAAGAGGACACAACTTGTCAAGGTCAGGAGAAAGAGGAGGTGAATGAGATGACAATGTTTATCGGTCTTTGATTGGAGAAGGGGAGGTAGACCGTAGACGAGTTGGGTAAGGCAACAATGGAGAAAAATTAGGGTCTAGGGTTTTCTTGGTTTGGATCGGTAAGAGAAGGTGAAAGAGAGTTTAAGTTGGATTCGGATACTCGCCACTACCAAAAAGTAGTGGAGAGACCACTACTATATCACAATCGTTGATTTGTTTAGAGGGCGGTTATGATCTACCTTTTGAATGTAAACTATGATGAGTGTTAGATATGAAATGAATTGTAACCACCAACTTCATAAATTATCAGTTATGATTAATGTAGTGGTCTCTCCATAACTTTTTTGGTAGCGGAGAGGATCCAAATCCGTTTAAGTTACCCAATTTTTTTTAAAAGCACTGGGAAGCAGTTTTAAAGCACGTTTACGCACCTTAAGACACTTTTCGAGTAGATAACCCCAAGGGCACCTAATACGAATGAAAGCAGCGAAAGAGAAGCAGCCACAGGCTGCTTCCTCTTAGCAGAAGTTCTTTAGTGGCAAAAAGCGCTGATTGTTTTAACATTGATATAAAGTAACACTACCAAATAATCTTTACAATGTTTCTGTTTTGGCCTGGATAAACTATAATGAGAAAGAAAAAAGGGTCTGTTGCACATAGATCGCCTTTAGTATCATTCTGAACTTACTACCCGTACAGTTTCATTTTGCAGATATGCCTCCTGGTGAAAATTTTTGACTCTTTTATCTGAGTTATCCTCAGATAAACACATTAATTTCAACCAGGGGAATATCTGTCAAACTTCACCCAGGGAAAAGAGTAAAAGGAAAAAGGGTCTATCTGCTAAAATGAACTAGAGGGATAGTAGCTTCAACACAACGATACTACAGGGGGTCTATTTCCATGTAACCCACGAGAAAAGAGAGTTCTAACACCCATTCTTACTCGAACTAATTCCATAAAGGGTTTAATTGCGCATAGATACCATGTATTATAGGGTTCCAACACATCCTACCTTAGAACTTTGAAATTAGCAGATACATGCGGAATGCAAACGATATTAGAGCTCAGTGGACTTAATCTCTTTCACGAGGGCCTTCACATGACTAACATAAAAACATAATTCCCTAACTACCCTTGTATACTCTAAACCTATTTCTATTTGGGATAATATGTTAAACATGGTTGCTAGTTTGCATTGATCCCAAGAAAGCACAACAAGAAACTCTGAGCAAAAGTAATGATCAAATTCGGTACCAATTAAAAGCCAATAAAAGGTTGACGAAAAATTCCTGTATTTATGGAGTCCCCACATTCAGTCACACCTTCGCTTACAAGCTACAGCGCTGAACCGATTTATATTCTTTCACATTAATTCTAATTGAGGGAACAGACGAATCCTACGATTTGACAATTCGGAGTAGTTCTTGCATGGATATCTATTGGGTGCGCGCGCGCCTGTGTTTAGTTCAGAGTTTGTTGATCTTTGAAAGAACCTCAAGGTTATCAGTTATCTTACACGTCGTTTTACTCTTGGTTGGTGTGAAGTATTAAGTGGCATAATGGTCTTTTTTTATAGAACATAATGGTTAGTTTAAAGATTGAACTGCTGAAAATTTCCAATTCAGTTATTAACCTGCACTTGTCAATTTCTTCTTTTGGTGGATTTTTCTGGTCATAACCTTTTATTACTCAATATACATTTTACTTTCACATGTTAAAATATTTGAACGGTCAATTTTTTTTTCAAAAGTTTAATAAAGTTCTTGTTTTAGAGAAATTATAATCTGGGTTTATTGCAACAGGAAGAGCTGAATCGCATGGCTAAGACTGGCCTATCATCTAACTTTGAAGGCATCAACTGCAACTCATCGGATACAGATGCACAACGCCAAAGGCAATTTTGAATCAACTACCAGGTGAATTTTTAGACTTGGTACTCATCTTTATCCATAGAGGCTGGGAAATATTAACTGGTAGCATGTGTCTCCCCATTAAATGGGTCTGTTAAGTTACTACTACCTCTTACATACTCTGTATAATATTTACATATATCTGTATGCTTCTAAGAGGTTGAACTTTTTGGTTTAGGTTTTTAGATCCCTTGCAAATCATGCTGGGAACAGGCATATGATGTTTGCACTAATTTGTTAAAGCTATATACTTTAGGAGTTCTTTTTACTGATTTCCCCACCTAATTCTGAAGAGATAAAAGCCAGTTAGTGTTTCTTATCCTGCTGTTATTTTTTCTTGGGCCTGTGTTGATTGCAATGAATTTTGAAGGTTTATGTGAGTTGAGAGTTCAAGAGAGATTAGCCTCATTTAGCGACTGTTGTCCTTATGAAACCAATATTATCGTCTCTTATATTCTATTATGCCATGCAAATACTGCAGCTTGGGATTTATATGTTTGTTGCTTACATTGTGACAATGTGACCTTCCTAGATACAACAAAAATACTACGGGGGTGTTAGTTAACTAGAATTTTTTTGATAGAAGTGGAACAATTTTTAGTATGAGATAATTTTTTGAAGTGAGATATTTTAGTGGGATAATTTGGAGTAATCTTTTAACAGGATATTTTAGTAGGACAATGGTTAGTATAATTAAAGATAATTTTTAATAATCAATAAGTATATAAGTCATGCATTTTTATTATAAAACTACTATTTATATATTTTAAAACTTATTATTATTATTAATAATTATTTACTTTGGTATTAATTAATTTTGAAGAACTATTGTATAGACTTTAAGATATTATTATAATAATTTGCTAGACATCTATCTTTCATTTCTCAGTTTTGAGTTATTATACAACTCTCATATTTAATTAAAAAAATGGAAAATAACATTAAATAGAAGGGTAAGAAGAGATGTGATTTAATCTTATGGTGTGGTTTGAAGATGACGGGGAAATGAAATATGAAAAAATATAAAGCAAATAAGAAAGTTCAAGTTTTTTACCATCTAGTTTTAGTTTAAAACTTACGACAAACTGAGAGAATATAACTCTCTCTTCTCTATATAAAATTGGGGAAAAAATACAGGACAAAATTTTACCATTATCCAAGTGTTACTTGTTATCCAATTGTAATTGATTAACACTGTATAATTTTATTTTAGTTCTAGTTCCAATTGACTAATACTATAAAAATTTGTCGCACAAATTATCCCAATTCTAATTTTAAGTTCTACTTGACTAACCCCTACAAAAAAGAAGAACCCCTAAAAAAAGAAGAAGAAGAAAGTGATGGAAGGTGGACGTAATGTCATGCTTGAACATAGCACATTTCATAGTGGAGGATATTATGTGCTTAAAATAGTTAGGGAGTGGGGAAGGAAATGTTATTTGATTTTATTTATGATTGTGCTCTTCACTATTTATTCGTTTGCCGACGGCTAATATTCCCTGTTAATCCTTAGCAATAGCTATTTGAATCATCTAATAACAACTAATTTCATGGTTGATAGGGGGGCATTGTACAATTTAGCCATCAATGTTAATTTCTGAACTGTCCTCTTTTCTATCTACGTATTTACCAACAATTAATGTATACAACTATTCAAACATCAAGCATTCCCTATATGAATATACTCATTGCTTGGGATCCGGACTGTTGGAGTTTCAATACGGCTTCCATGATCTTGAGTTTGATTCTGGGCTAGGTTAT